GAATCGGAATCTCCAAAAGCCTGGAGCAAAGTATTTATTGGTATAAAAAGGCGTTTGAAAACGGATGCGAGAAGGCCCAAAATGAATTGGTCATACTCGAGAAACAACTTGAACGTCGAAGGCGGTCCCTACAGTTACCGAAGGTAATCATCCTAACTTTTTTTCATGGTTTCGCTTGTCAACTTTCAAGATAACGACGTCTAACGTTTCCTTCTTTCTTAATAGAAATAAACTTGTTAGCGTTTCCTTGGAACCACGAATTAGTGTATCCTAAAGACATCTTTTATTACTGCGAGCGAGACACTTTATTTCGCAACACAACTGCATCTCTCAAAATTTCATAAATATTGTATATACAAATAACCTCCCTTTCTTTTAACATTCATAATATTTATTTATTATACTGTACAATTTAATCAATTTAATTTTGGCATGTAAAATATAGAGCACTCTATCATAAAAGAATTAGATATATACTGTGTATGTATAACGAAAGATTCTATAATGTTAATAATGTAATAACCACGACGAGTCATAATTCATATCGATGTACTTTATTTCTTTCAATTTCTCCACCTGTACAAAAAATTACTTCACTAGCTTTAGTCAAAATATTCTTTTCATCAATTTTTTAATCAATCATCATTTCAACGTAACACTCTCATCTTCTGCAAAATAACAAGCAGAAGCGATAAAATGGACGGACGAATGGATAATTCACTGCGAGGAAGTGGAGAAAGACTGACGTTAAAAAAAAAAAATAATAAATAAATAAAAATAAGGAAATATGAGAATCAATGAATAAAGAAAAAAATCACGACCACGAAATCACAAATCAAATCTCGGTGTTATTACAGCACTTACCGTTATGTTCAAATTGAGCTTATGCAAATATATTCCTATTTCCTAATCCACAAATGGCAACTATACAATTTCAATTTCCCGCAATGAATCGGAATATTATCTTTTTTATTTAGCCTAATAAGTAAATTTTAATCTCCGGCTATTCCATGAATATAATACTTTTTCAGCAATTTAAAGCGGATGAAAGGAATCGATTAGCAAAAAAAGGGGGAAGGGCATAATTGTGGACAAACCAACCCATTCGCCTATCAACCATTATTAAATGAGTCAGCGCGTCATCGACATCCGTATCTTGTGGGTTATAAAAAAGAAGATTAAAGCGGCATAATTCAAATCATTTCAAAAGAATAAAATAAATCTTTATCCTATTATCTCCGAACCCGATTCTCGTAGTCACGACCCATTTGGACATCAAGAGCCGACAATTTAATTCACCCTCATTTATTATTTACTTATTTATTTATTTTTAATTAAAATTTTTTATTATTATTATGATTATTATTTCATGCATACATCATTATTTATTTATTCGCGACCGTTATGTTTCAAAGTTTAAATAAATTAACCTCGATAAACAACATCTCGACCATATGCACGACATGTGCAGGACATGAGGTTTTTTTTTTCTCCCGAATGAAATTTTTTTTATCTCACGCAACATACAACACATGCCGGTTCGTCTTTTGAACGACTCGTTTACATTAAAAAAATGGGGATTTTTTTTTTTTTTTGTATTAGTGTGATTTCTATTGAAGTAGTTTATATCATTATTTCAAAATAAAAACAAATATTTAATTTATTTATTCATAAATAGAAATGAAATCATTTCTATCAAACTACGTTAATAATATATTCTAGTATTTCGTTATCAATTGCCTGATCAGATTCATTCAATTTTTTTTAAAATCGCTACCGAATTCGATTTATCTTTGTTATTTTTTTTAAATTAATAAATAATAATATTGTTTTTTTAAATAAATATTATTGCTTTATTAATTTGTAAAAAATATATAATTTTATATATGAAAAAGGTGACGACATCTCTCATGTAACCAATTGGTCAATGAGTTTAATTCTAGCTTGCCTATAATAAATTATTTAAACAGTAAAAATAAATAAATATTAAAATAAATATCTACTTGGAATTATATGTAAGATTATAAAAGATAAAAAAATAAAAAATATATATTAAACAAAAAAATATATTAAAAAAACCAATGATAGTATAAAGAATACTTAGATTATTATTGCAGACTAGACTAATTATATTACAAAAGATATTTAAATTATCAAAAATATTAGTATCTAAATATATTATATTAATAACTCCTTTTTATTTAAATAGTATAATATTTACTATAATAGCTAAACTATTTTTAGAACAATTATTATTATTATTATTAACATATTTTTTGAGAACCAATTAAATATATTAATTATTATTTAAAAATAATATTTTATTGTTATGGTTTTTAATATAATATATTTATTGTTTTGATTTTTTAATAAATAAAAAAATATGTAATTGAATAAAAGGATTTATTGATTTATAGATTTTTCTTTTTTAATATTATTTATATTAATTTTTAATAAATATGACTAATGTGTTTTGATTAACTAAGGAATTTAATTGATTAATTTTGAAATAATAATCAATTGACAAGAGTAAATTGATTACAGTTTTTTGATAAAATTTTTTTAAATAAGAATTTTTTGAGTTTTGTGATATAACAAAATATGTTAAATGATATTAAAAAATAATTATTATTATTGTCTTGAAAGAGCAAAAAATTTGTAATTAAATGTATTTCAATTTTTAAAAATTTAATTTATTCAATATATGTTCTGTTTCAAATATTATTAAATAAATTAATATAAATAATTTAAAATTATTGTTTTAGTTAAACTTTACAACTTTGTTTTGATATTAAAATTAAAAGATAACAATATATAAAAATTTAATTTTAAAAAAAAATAATATAATAATATAAAATAATAATATGAAATAGTAATAATTTTATTAAAAAGAATTTAAAAAAAATAACAAAATTTTAAATTTTATAATTATAAGTTTAATTGTTTTTTTAAAAGTTAAAGGAAAATGTAATCTTTTTATAATATTTTAATCAATTATAAGTTGCTTTTAATTTAATTATTTATATATAATTTATTTATTTATATAAAGAATTAACTAAAAAATTATTTGTTATACTTTGAATAATTATTAAAGAAAATTTTTATTTATAAGAAAAAAATGAGATTACTTATAATATTATTAAAATAATTATTTTTTAAGTTTTAACAAAGTGTTTTTAATTTTTTTGCAAATAGTTGTTTAAAATTTTAAAAAAATTTATTAATTTGATTTTTTAAACTACAATATTTTAAATTTGCTATACTATTCAAAACTATATAGATGTTTGAGAATTTTTGAAAAAAATAATTAAATACCATATAAAAAATATAACAAAAAATAATAGGTAATAATAAATAATAATAAAATATAATGGTATTTTCTTAAAGTTATAAAATTTTCAAAAATTTTAGTAATAGTATTGTAAATATTGCTAATATCTAATTAATAAAGTTTATATATTGATAAGAAATAAAAATAAAAAGAATTTTAAAAAAAAATTTATAAAAAATAATTATTACAAGTTTTTTCTTATATAATTTTTTTTAAAAAACAAGATCTTCAAATTTGTTTTTCTTTAATTAAAAGTTATGTTTCAATATATCAATAAACTTTTATAATAATAATAATAATAATATAAAAAATTTTTAAGTGTTGAAAAACAAAAAAAAAATATTTATTTCTTTAATTTAAAAAATTATTAATAAAAATATAAGCTTAAAAAATTTATTATTATTATTATATTATAAATTTTTATTATTAAAAATATATATATAATTTTTTGTTAATATTTATTTTTTAATTAATAAAAAATTATTATATTTTTAATATATGTGTTTTTTTTTAAATAAATAATAATTATTATTTTATTATTATAAAAATATATTTAATTTTATATTTACTTATCTATATGATTTACTTGAACAATAAAAAAATAATTATTAAAAATATTATTAAATAATTATAAGTATATATTCATTTAAAAATATATACAATAAAATAGAAAAATACAAAATAATAAAAATATAACTTGGGAAAAAAAATTAAAAAATATCAAAATATATTATTTTAATTGTTTTACTTAATGAAAATATAATTATATTTATATTTTCTGAAATAATTAAATTATTCTTTGAAATATATAATAATAGAAAAAATAAAAAATAATAGAAAAAAAAAAGTTATATATATATATATATATTTTCAATATATTATTATATAAATTATTATAAAATAAAAAATTTTAACAAATATTGATATGCAATATATGTTTTAATATTAAATTAAATTATTTTTAAATTTTGATATTTCCTTATAACCAAGGATTCTAATAATTCAATTTGATTTGATTCTTGATTTTCAGGTTTGTATTAAATTTAATGTGGGTTATAATCCACCATCATTTTTAATGGTGTTTCAAATTTTATGCAAGTTTATGTTAGTCTGTTTGATTCCAATTTTTGGAATCATACTTATAACAATAATATAATATGCATTATAACTGAATCTTGATTAATTTGATTGACTATAATAAATTCGAAATATATTATGTCAAAAAAAAAAAAAGTAACACAAAGTAGCAACATAAATAAAATAAGAAAGTGGTGATGTTAGTTTCAAAAAATCATAATAACTGATAGGAATTATTATTAAGTATAATATTGGGAATCCTAATAATACATATCGTGCTGAGTTGTGTTAAAAAAATCTCATTCATTAAATGGCGAAATATCATAACCTATTCTTTAAGAAACTTTTTTTAGTGGGATTTAGGCATCACGAGGTTGTGAATAGAACGCGGAACTTATTTAAATATTTTTATTATCACAAAAATTCTTAAAAATGAAAATTCTTTAGATTTAACAATACTTAGAGAGAGATCCAATTCTTTAACCTATATTTCTCGACTTGACTGTCTTCTCTTCCAAACTTCCGTGCCAGGCGTAATTCCGATTTGAGACATTTAAAAAAACAATGACACGATTGAAGTCTGTAATTAACTCGAACGAACTTGTCATCATAATTCTAGCTACAGTATCTCTAACATTTTTATTAAAATATTTATCACCAAGGCATCCACCAAATTAATCGCATACTGACCACTAATTCTAAAAACAGAAAGTTTATAATTAACGTCGTGACTTAAATATCGTTATCTATTTACGCCTTTTTTGAATCAAGTTCTTAATAATATACAGTTTTATTATTTTCGATAATGCTTGGTCACATTGAATAAATTAAAAAGTAAAAAATCATATGATAATACAGGCAAATTTTTTTGTCAACCGTTACCATATGATGAATCACCCTACGTAAATTAGCATCGAGAAGGTTTAATAAATAGCATGACAAATTATTTTGTTTTATTAAAGAAGGTATACCACTGTTATGCTATGATCCAATAAAAGACATAAGATTCTAATCTTAAATATATTTCACACCAGTCAGTATCATCAATACTAAATTATTGCGTCCTAAAGTAAAAATGTTCTTCGATCATCTTAAAAGAAAAATACATGATATAATTTGCTTTTTAATAAGAAAGACACAACTATAAATAGAGAAGCTGGTACGAATACGTATTTGAGAGTTCCGTTTTGAATTATGTTTAAATAAATGATAAAATTTTTATACTTAAAGTTCTGATTCGTTGCGGGTAAGCGGAGGCGGAACAAAAACATTACATCGGCAACTTTGTAACGCTTGATTTAACTGCCAAACTCTATGTCCCAAAGCATTGACTTCCTGCTCTAATTCAAAATTATGACAATTTTGACGAATTCGCAAAACTTCCTGCTTCAGATTTTCAACTTGTGCTCGTAATTCTTCATTATTATCCACTAGAGAATCAATACGACGACTGCACTCCTCAATGTAAATTTCAATTTGTTCGGTAATAATTATAGTGTGTCCATAAGATTCTTTATACCATCGTTCATACGCCTGGATACTTTTTTGCATGTCTTCTAAGACTGTGTTTAATCGATCTACTTCCTTCTGTAAGCTCGTTATTTTTCGTTGCCGACGGTTGCTTTCTTTATTAACAAATTCAAGTGTTGAGTAAATGACGTTATATCCATTTTCCCGTTTCTTGCGATTGCTTTTAGATCTAGAAACACGAGGCATAAGGAAGTTGTACAAACAATAAAAATCAAGCGCGGTATATATCTCCGAAGTGACATTGGAATGACCGCAACAATTAAATGCGAATTAAAGATTTCTGTTAAATATCGTTTCTCAGCATAATAATTCAATAATTAAGTCCAAATGATTCATTGTTAGAAAATAAGTTTCTTAATAATCTCGATCTCCCTTGTAGCTAATAAACCATTCATTCCGTATAAATCTTTCAAATACTGTATATTCATGTTTTGATAATGGTCTAACTAAAGTATTCTAAATTACGCGTAGAGTTAACTTTTCTTAAAGTGCGAATTGCCTTTATGTGATGCTTCACAGAAATAATTAAGGCACCGTATTTACAAAAAACGAAACATCAAAATATTTGGATTTACAGTATCGGTACGTAATCATCGCATAAATCGCAAACCATTTGTAAGTACTACTTATTTGTGTATATGTATATGCATGCAATTGTTAAGATTGTTATAATTGTTGAATTTTCGCCTTTGTCGTTAAAAAAAAACACTATCAAACCAATCAAATACAATAAACAACCACGACATCAATCTAGCGTTGTTAAAGCACTCGTGCTGTCTTTCGGAAATACTTTATTTTAAAACTTATTTGTTTTTAATCGTAAATAAAAAATTTTTTAAAAAATCTTTTGTTTATTTATATAAACAAATACATAAATATTATATGATCATGATAGAAACTTTACATATTTAAATAAAAATCTAAAATATAAGTTTTATTGAAATACTGTATTATAAATGCATTTGTTGTTTTATTTTATTTGCAAATTATACGTTTTCAAATTCACCATTTTTATAATAATTTAATAAATTTCATTATTAATTATTGAAATATTTGTATTTAATGTTTTAATAATTAATTACTGTATATTGATTACTCAAATGAAAAAACTTATATAGATATTCAAAAATACAGTAGAATAAGAAACAATTAACTAAGTAACTTATAAATAACTGATATACTTTATCAAAATAATACAATATAACAAGTATAAAAATAAATATTATTTATCATATGTTGTTTAATAATTCTATTATAATAATAATTTTTTAAAAAATAATAAAATCTAATTTTATTTAAATATAATCAAATATACAAATAAACATTATATTAAATATTTCAAAATAAAAAATAATATACTATATATTTATTTATACAATATATACAAATTAAAATATAATTTTAATAAATTAATAATACTGTATATTGTATATACTTGCAAAAAAAATCAACATATATACAGATAGTAGACAAAATAATACAGACACTTATAAATTATTATTATTAGTATTATTATTATATTAATAATATATATTTATTTATTTATTTAAATATGTCAC